TAGTAATTTCAGTTGTAATCATTGGATTAGGGAACAAGGGGTAAATAAATGTCGGGAGCTGGGAATTTATTGCTTTTACCCTAGGTTATCATCGAACTACTGTAACACATGAGTGCGCAATGATTCATACGAAGTGTCTTTTGAAGTTATTTCGTACTAAAATCTACGAAGTGTTACGCTCGTCGGTGTAAAATTCAAGGAAACCGTAAACCATGAGAGGTGATATAAATCGAAGAGGTTTTCGGTTAATGGAATTAACTAGTCGATAAAACGTTTAGAGGCTTGTTAAATGAATTTTCGGAATCTATTTCTTATTTTTGAACTTCGCCCGCATGAAAGCGCATAAAATATATATCAAATATATATTTTATGCGCCCATATATTTCGATGGAAAATATAATATATCAGACATGTGTCATATATTGTCAATTCAAATTGTGTCAACTATTATATTTTTTTAATATATTTTTTTTATAATAGCGAAATATTTGCTTTCATATTTTCCCGCCTCTCAGACTTTCATTATCTATCACGTGAGTATGCGTAAAATCATCAATTATTTAATTGAAAAGTTTGTTTAAAAAAATATAATTTTCCTCCTCCACAAAATACCGGTTAAAATAAAAAAAATAGAGATTAAAAAAATGTCTTTTCCTTTCTATTTCCGGATTTTAAGATTTTGTTATGATTTTATTATGAAGTAATTAATGGGAAAAAATCTATTTTGAGAACCATTCGATTATATAAAAAACGTGTATTTTAAATAATTTCCTGTTCGCCACAGGAAAATGAAAGAATTCGATTCATAGGGCTCACAACATTCACCAATGACCAAGCTGATGTCTTTTTATGGGCTGGCAGTAAAAAACATTGAATAAAACTTATCAAAGCGACCGATTAACATTTCACAACCAATTAACTATATAATATAAACCTCTGTTTATGTTCAGTACCCTTTGAGTACTTCGTATTTTAAAATTCGCAGACAGAGTGTGAATCAATCGATTTCATCAATGAGTAGCTCTCGATATAAAAATTTATGAGTGTATCTATAAATAAAAATTTATTTATAATTTAACTATCCCCTTGCAAATGGCAATACAGAAAGAAATTTAAAGAAATTTTCATAATCTTAAGCTAATGTTTTGGATGTCTCAAATTAAAACTTTCCAATCTTAAATTAATTAATTAATTTTACATTGAGAAAAGCTAAATAAACCGTTTGAAAACAGTTTTTAATATTAATTTTTTTAGGTGTATTTTTTTTAATCAGTCATGCATTTTCACGGGCGTATGTGATATTATGGTCCAGCCGACGCTCATACACACCAAGAATAATAATTGAAGAAACCCCATGGACTTCGGGGGTATAAAGTAAAAAATAATAAAGCTCTCTCAAGGTAATAAAATAGACTAGGTTTGTTTTTAGAGGGTGCAATTTTCGTCACAAAACGGCGCTTCCCTCCAGCGCATAATGATTTTCGCATCCGAAGATGAAAAAA